TGTGTCCAGTACTAACCTGTGAAGTTGGTGCCTTGATGCAGGTACCTCGCAGATGGAGCTGGAGCGCTGGCGCCACAGGTAAGTACCACTGGCCTCCGCCAGTATCTCTCCCAACTCTACGATCTACCACCTACCAGCGCCCAGCGCTGAAGACTACTCTATGGCTATGGGCGCCCAGCGCCGAAGACTACCACTAACGCTGACGGCTACTGCCTAGCGCTGAAGACTACTGCAGCGCTCCTCCTGAGTGCTGCGGCCGAATCCTGAAGACTACCCGTGCCTACTGACAACTACCTACCCGTGAAGTGCATGGGAACTTCCTATGTACTACCGGGTGTGCCTCCTGACTCGTGCGAGCAGTCCAGGAGGCTGCTCTTGCCAATGCCGAAGGAAGGCAGGGGCTGCAGCTGCAGCTCCTGCTCAAGCTCGTGAGGAACAGGCTATTTCTGGCCTGTTCCAAAACCCTGCATTCGTGCCTGAGTCTTAGGGGTGGTCGAAACAATGAGGGCCTGAAAAAGGCCCTCCGTTTCAGGCTGGAAAAACTCTGAAAGGCCCAGAAATAGGCTGAAACGGAATAGGGCCTGCAGGCCCTCGTATTTCAGCTTCCACGCTGAAACGACCGGGGCCTGTAAGCCCTAACTTTTAGGCTTTTAGGCTGAAAGTCCGGGACGGGCCCTGCAGGGCCCGTGTGGCTACGCAGTATGCCACGCACACACACTCATGCCGACAAGCACTCAGACAGGCACGCAGGTCACCAAGCACGCACACACGCACAGGCTTAGAAACTCAGCAGAATTCGGGAATCTCAGCAAGGCATCCATTCCATCGGCAGAACTCAGAAATCAGCAGTGTGCTCAGTCTGTGTTATGGCGGGTCATTACACTACCCACGCCTCAAGAGCGCGGTCCCTTCGAGCGAGTAACTCACTCAGAGCCCCTGCATAACGCATCATAAGCGAAAATGGCAAAGAGAGATTGGGTATGTTCCGTAGGAGTGAGGGTAGCGATGAATTTAGGTTGCTGTTTGAGGGTAGCGATGAATTTAGGTTGCTGTTTGGAGACAATCAGTCATTCATATGCTTTGACAACTCGAGGGGCACTCTGCAGCAAGTCTTTCTTAGAAATCCAGTAAAAATCATCTAATGGGTGATACAGAGGGGTTGGGGCTTACACAAAGTCAAGGTCAGCGGAGATCAGAATGGTAGAGATTCTAAAAAGGTCATGTGGCAATGAAGAAAAAAAAAAAAAAGACTGGCACAACTCGGAAGCAGGGAGGAGAAGGCAGAGTTCCCAGCCAGCAGAAGGACTAGCTTCATCACAGGTCACATAATGTTGGAGGGCGTAATCCGATTTTGCATCTTCAGTGGCTTTTTTTACCTTTCTTGCTTTTTATCATTTATCTGACAGGTCATACAGTAGACCTGAGAGGAGAGGAGAAACTAAGGCAAGCTGATAGCCAATCCTCCATGTTGTTGGAGTAATCAATGCTGGTCAGGGATCCTTCGGCCGGACGGAAGGAAGCGTGAGTGGGTTTCATGATGTAATGTTTTATTCTGACTTGTCGGTGGAATAGGAACCGGATTGATGCTCCCCAGAATGGAAATGGAGCCGGGCCCATAAGGACCTGTTAATAATAATAATAATAATAATAATAACAAAAAATGGACTTTGTATTGTCTGTTTTTCCCTTTTCCACTGTGCTCGACAATTCTATCAATCTCGTGACCGCCATTGATTGCACGAGGGATCATCGATTCTCGATACAGAAAGTTTCAGGTGATACATACAGAAACAACTTCGATGCGTGAAAGACTGGGTACATGCGCAGATGAGCAGGCACGTCGATCGTATAAGGACCGAATGAATCATCCCCTACCTGGTTCAGCACCTTCCACGGACCGTAATATTGAGGAAGAAGCTTTCGTGATACACCTTCTCCTTCAGAAAACTCTGACATTTTGACCCAGACGTAGCTTCCCACTGTGAAAGGTGCAGGCTGGGGCTTCTTGTTATGCTTAATCATGGCACAGCGTCGCCTTTCCATAGCTGCAACAACGACTTCCAGCAAGGGATCAAACTTAGCGTTGTAGCTTGGCTGGCCAGGTGTCGGGTCAGGAAACAGATAGGGTAGGGGATTGCAAATTTGCCACCCGAGGTGCACCCGATTAGGTGTCATCCCGGTGGAGGAGTGTATAGAGTTGTTGTACAACCCCTGCACAATCAACAATTACTCATCCCAAGAGTTCTGATCAGGCACAATTAGAGCTCGGAGAAATTGGATCACAGTCTGGTTGATCTCCTCGACAATCCATTGGCTTCGGGATGTCGACCAGACGTCATCTTGAGTTTGATGTCATAGATCTGAGAGGTGAAATCCTTCCAATCTGCACTTATGAACCCAGTGTCCCGGTCACTCACAAGAGTCTTCGGGGGACCATACTGCAGAATGTACCTCTTGTTAAACTCCTCGATCACAAGGTCAGTTGGGGCGTGAGGTGGCAATGAAATCATATTCAAAAATTTTGAAAAGCGTGTCAACTATCACTATTACTTGCCAATATCCGTTCCTACTCTTCTTTCCCATGTTCGTGAAGTCAATGGAAACAGACTCACCCGGGCCATCACAGATACGAAGACGATGCAGCAGCCCATAGGGCTTCTGCCGAGACGGTTTGATGCGTTGACAAACTTGACACTCGGCCACAAACTTTCGTGCCATTCCTTTCATCCCAGGCCATACAAACTTTTGCAATAGGCTTCCGTATGTCTTCTCAAAACCGAAGTGTCCACTCCGACGATGAGCCAAGTCCAAGAAGTGAGTATGGATAGGCCATGGTTGGGTACACACAGTCGGTCGTACTTTCCGTAACGTCGGAAGAGCAAGCCATCACACTTTGTGGAAATCAGGTTGACTGCTAGGGTCAGCTTGGATTTGTTCAAGGATGGGATTGAGTTCCGGGTCCTTGGCAGTGTGCTCAACTAGTTCCTCCTTCAATTTCTTACAGAGATCGTAGGAGCCCACAAGGCAAGTCATGTACTCAGGGTGGCGATACAAAGCATCCACAACGCGATTATAACAACCTTTCGTGTGTTTAAGTTCAAATCATACACATTAATCTCATGCAGCCAGTGGGTCAATGTAGTTGATGGATTTATTTGTGTCTGGATCCATTTCAAAGTCTCGTGGTCTGAGAACACTTTGAATGACGACCCAAGAGGTTGTGTTTTCAATGATCTAGTGCCTCTCTCAACGCATAGAGTTCTTGCATGTAGGTGGAGGCAGCTACCTTGTGACTGGGCATGCATTTGTTGTAGTACTCAAGCAGTCACCATCATTTTGTTGCAGCACTGTGTCGATCCCGTACAAGCTTGCATCCGTAGTTACTACGAATGTAAGTTTGGGATCCACAATGCGGAGCACCAGACGCTCACCAAGGCCTCCTTCAATGCTTGGAAGGCGGCTATGCATTCCCCATCCCATGTGTAAGACGCGTTCTGGCTTGTCAATTTGGACAGCGGATGGGCGATGATAGAAAATTTGGGTACAAATTTACGGTAGTATGACGCGTGACCAAGAAAAGAACGCAACTCTCGGACGTTCGCCGGTTGAGGTCATTTGCGGATGACCTCGACTTGTGTTGCCTTGGGCTTTAGGCCTGCAGCGAATAACCGATGTCCAAGGTAGATGACGCTGTCCTTCCCAAACTCATATTTCTCTAAGTTGAGATGGAGTTGCGCATGCTTGAGGAAGGTGTCTCATGTGTTCCTCCGTTAATTTGTTAAAGATTAGTACGTCATCCAAATAAAAAACAACAAATGGATTGATCTGACTGCGGGACACCTTGTCCATGAGACTTTGGAAGGTGGCCGACGCATTCGTGAGGTCGAAGGGTGTGACAATAAATTCGTACAGCNATTGATCTGACTGCGGGACACCTTGTCCATGAGACTTTGGAAGGTGGCCGACGCATTCGTGAGGTCGAAGGGTGTGACAATAAATTCGTACAGCCCATCGCGAGTTTTGAACGCAGTTTTATGCTGGTCAGCAGGGTCGACTTCAATCTGGTGGTAACCAAACTTGAGATCGATCTTGCTGAAGACCTTGCATCCACCTGCAACATCAAGCAAATCATTAATGCGTGGCAAAGGGTACACATTCTTTCTGGTTATTCTGTTCAGTCACCGATAATCAATACACATCCGTAATTTGCCTCCTTTCGTAGGGACAAACAAAACTGGTGCACCGAATTCGGATTCGCTAGGTTTGATCCAACCCTTTTCAAGCATGTCATCGATTTGTCTTCACAACTCCTCCAATTCGCCTGAGCCCATTCGATAGTCACAACCTTTTGGAGGAGTGTTGCCCTCTGTCCGCTCGATCTTATGTTGGACCGGACACACAGGAACTCTGCATGGTTCAGCCAAAACTTTAGGGGATTGGTTGAGAAGACTGCGGATCTTTGATGGGATCTTCGGAGGTGGATCATCTGAATCTGGTGCAAGCATATCGGACTGCATAGAACAACAGAATTGTTTAGACTAGAAGTTGATTTAGTAGAGGTAGACGTAGTTGCATTAGAAGTAAAACGGCATGCAAAGGAGAACCATTATGTATAAAAAAAATAGAAGGCACATGAGCAGGCCTAACAAAGGCTATATACATTTGCTCATCAACTTTGCGCTTCCGCCACAATTGCAGAATTTCATTGCATTGAGAAAAGTCACTTAGGACTCGTGCGGCTCGTCCAAGAGGACTGGACGCTCAATCCCCATGGCATCTTTGACCATGAATTGTGAGTCCTTCCACGTGGTTCTTCCTCATTGGGTCTGCAACCAGCCCAAGCCAATAACCGCATCGAAAAGGCACTTATCAAGGACATAGAAGTTCAACTCATGTGTGATTGTGTGGCCTGCATCAAAGGTAGTGCGCACACCTTTGACTGCATGCGTAGATGTGATAGCCTCTTGGTTGCCCACTTGGGTCCGACAAAGGATTCTGCAAAGTCACTTGCTTCATTCCCAAGTGTGCCTTACGAATGTCGTGTGGTGAGTAGTTGGCGGTTGCGCCACAATCAGCCAGCGCACGAATATATCAGCCATTAATGCGGAGTTTGAAGAAGATCAACTTTGTTTTCCCTTGCGTGCGCTCTTGCTTCATGTGAGCCCAACGCAACAAGAGAGCATAAAAGTCCATTTCTTCCGACTCCACCCAAGGCTCCTTGTAGAGGATATGCAATTTCTCAGCTTTGGAATCAGCATCAAATGGGGTCTCAAAAGAGGGTTGTTGAGTGGGATCAGAGTCCGGCGAAAGACCTGCACTTACTTGTTTAGCCTCTCCTTCAGTCGAGTGTGCTGATAATGTCTCTATCCCTTTTGCTGGTTTCCCTGCTGCAATCTGAAGCACTGTTGGACCGAGTGCCCCGATTTGGTGAAATGCAGGCAAACCTCTTTCCTCATCCTATGTTTCCACTCGCTTTCACTAATCCGGAGATCTACCCATGGTTTTGTGGCAAGATCCTCCGGTTTGGGTGAAATCTTCGCTCCGTTGGGGAGGTGAATGGTGTTAGTGTTGGTCTTCACTGAGTTCCTCGGCCCTTTACTTTTGAAGGCAGTCTTTTTAAAGGCATTCATTGATTCATCATCATTTCCATAGTCGGACTCATGGGCTGACGAAGAGCAAGATGCCTCGCAGTCTTGCTTTTGATCGTCACCAAGAGAAGGGTCCTCTGCCAAGGCCTCCTCGTTAACCTCAAGTTGATTGTGCACTGCAAAACGGTTGCTGCCCAGAAACCGTTTGCGGCTGGTGGTCTTTTGCCACCCGATCCACCCGGGAGGTCTTCTGCCTCCAACTTGACTAAGTCCTGCATGAGGGAAAGCCAATCTGTATATTCCACGAGTCCAAGCCCCAGGCAATGTGTTACAGTAGAAGGGACCGTACCTTTAATCACATCCAAGCAAGACTGCGCAGTCATCTCCAGATTAGGAGTAGCAAAGAGTTTACTAACGTACTGCTGCAGACTATGCATGGTGCCCGTCCACTTGCTGTGCTTGAGCTTGTCAAGCTCGAGTCTAACTTTAGCTGCAACATGTGGATCAGCATATTGCTTGATCAAGAGATCCTCGGTTGTGGCTATTGGCGTAGCCTTCAACCATTTGTTCAGATCTATTCTCTTATAGCCTAACTGTACAGCTTGGGCTTCTAAGAAGCCTCTTACGGCGGGTTCCACATTGGTTCCTAGGACCGACGGCTGAGTGACTGGTGGTGTCCCCAACACATCAAAGCAGGATCGCATAGAGTTGATCCAAGACTCAATGTCGTCCTTTCCGTCATATTTAGAAGGAATTTGTGTCGCCTTCCTGTCCACATAGGGAAAGTTGCAACTAGGAGCAACCAATGCTGGGTCCGAATTCGGGCCTGCAACAATTTCAGAATGCCCTGCACTGCCGCTTGCTATTGCAGCAGCAGCGGCAACAACAAGGTGTAAACTTGCTCTAAGTCTGGATAGGTTGTCGACCACACTCAAAGAAGAAGAAGAAGAAGAAGAAGAAGAAGAAGAAGAAGAAGAAGAAGACAGTTAGAGGGGTAAGAACAGACTGGCACGCGACATTAAAAGCAGGGTAAGCTGGTGGAAGGACAATCTGGGTCGGCTACATGTTAGCAAACTGTTGCAGCTGGTCATTGTGCTGCTGCGCCATCAGGGTCATATCCTCGCGCAACTTCTTGCGTTCGTCAAACACTTTCGCGAGTTGGCCGGTATGATCCTCGACAACCCGGACATCTACTAAAACCCTGAGAAGTGGGACGGTCTTCTCTCCCACCTCAGTGTCAATTAAGTCGGGCACGGTACAAAATACAACTTCATGAGCCTTTACTTTGTCCCCCTTCTCCCTCTCCTTCTCTTCCTCTTCCCTCTCAATGCTTTCTCATAAAATAACAGGTATTGCGCTTTCTCTAGCTCAGGGGCAGAGTCCATTTGCAGCTTCCATTCCGCTACAGACGTCATGATGGAGGACGAGGGTGTCAATAAGTCTCTCAAGAGGGGTCCGCACTTCCTCACAGTTCTCGAACGAACACTTCTCTTCTCTCTCCTCACCCCCTCAAGAGCAACACTCAAAAACGTCTCTCTTTTCTCTCTCTCGTTTGAGATCGCGTCGAAGCAGGCATTTAACGAACCCAATGGAAGAAACAAACTGAAATTGACACAGAAGAGGAGGTAGAACTCCTAGCCGGAGTGGCATTTCATTTGGACTGGAGAGCAGGCATAAAAAAATAAAAATAATAAAAATAATTCAATGTGAGAGTCTCGATCCAACGATCCTGGCTCAGTTTTGTGAACGTACGGTAAATGAAAGCAAAGAGTAACATCACAATGCAAGAGAATTGAGTGGTGTATTAGATGAGGGTCAAGCGGCGAATCATGCGATAAGATTTGTGAAACGTCTTCAGTTGAGATCCCCTCAACAGTGAGTGTCCTGGTCCGAAAGTATGAACGTTGAGTCCCAATCAGATAGAGCAAGGTAACTGACGTCAACTGCTTTGGGCTTGAGGGGCCCTTCTTGTTTGGGTCGGGTCCCACTGGGTCCCAAATGGTCCCACTGGAGTCAGAACCGGGTCCCAACCAACAAGAGTTCCACAAAGACCTAGTCTCTGCCCCTACCGTATTGAAAAACGAATTTCAGTTCCAAAAAAAACTACAGACTACAACCGTTCAAAATGAAATATGCAAAGCACTGTAGAAAGATATGGCATTGCACACAAGATACTCCGTCCAGTCACTCATTAGGTGAGTAAGTAGTTCACACATCTCATATAAGATCAAGACCAAGGAGCATGGGAGAAGAACCCAGAATCACCCCAACAGGCAGTCCAATCCATGAACACACACATGGGCACCCTTGTGACACGACACTTACCTCAGCGGTCGGGCTCTTGAGATAAAGTAAAACTCAACCCCCCTCTCACATAATCCTCCTGACCCAATTAGCATCCTCTACACTAGTGTTCTATCTTCTAGGAGAGTCAACTTCTACCCCAAAGTACAATGTCGGATCCCCCGTCGATGTTGAAGATCAAAGTGGCAACTTGCAGTCCGTAGGTGCAAACATGGCTGCCACCCTCAAGCTCGCCAACTGGAGGGGAGCCCTAAAGTCGCTCCATGTCTTCCTTGAAGTCCGGATTCCAGTTGTAGGTGCCTCTCACTATCGCCTTTTCCAAATTGCATCACGAAGCTTCTCCAAGTGTCTCGCCACCACAAACATGCACTCTAGCAACCTGGCCAGGTCTATTGTCGACTCTACTCGACCTTGCCAGGTGGGGGCTGCTTCCCTTTCACCATGCTGCCCCACTTAACCCTGACTCCCTGCCCTAACCTTAAGTGGTTAGCCCTACCACTTAGGTTAGGGTTATGGTGGCAAAGTCAACTCTCGCCAGCAAGTAGAATCTGCTCTGATACCAATGCTACGATCCTGGCCAATTTTGAAGTACACATTCATCAGAAAGTACAATGCCATCCAATTGAAAAAAAAAAATGAAAGAGCTTGAGAGGAGAGAGAGGGAAAGAAGAAGAAGAAGAAGAAAGAAAGAAGAAGAAGATGATGTACTCCAGCATAGACCAATGATAATGCTCTTCTTCTTCGCCAACCACTCTCCTCCTCCTTATCTCCTCCCCCCTCTTATTCAAGCAAGAAATATCAGTAATAATGTTGAATGACTGAACCAGAATCAATGTCCGAATCCCTCTTCTACTGCAGGCACAACTTGAGGTCCACCATAGCCATGGCTATCCTTCCTCTTCCTCTTCATGTAGGCCAAGGCTATGGCAGACTACTGAGGGATCTACCCTCCTGTCCAAAGGACAACCCAAAGCAGCTATGTCACTGCCCTCCTGTGCAAAGGACAACACAAAGCAGCTATGCCGCTGCTCATTAAGCCGCCATGCCTGACTCTGCCCCGAGCTGCCTTGGTGTGGCACTACCCCAACTGGGGCCTTCCAGATGCAGTGCCTATCAAGGTGATGAAGATGGTGTCCACCATAACCGGGTAGGTACCTCGCCACTCTCCTCCTCCGTCCTCTTCTCCCTCCTCCTCCCACCAGTAGAGCTCCACCATAGCCGAGGTGGGAGCTCCTGGGCTTCTTCCTCCCAGCAGCGCTGTAGGACCCAGCGCTCCAGCAGTGTGTAGCCAAACTTGCACACCGAAGAATGAGGTTGGGATCTTCGCTCAGCCTCAAGATGTAGCGGCCTACTTGCCTCCTGGGCGGTGACTTCCAGGCCGCTCGGCCTCCCAGGCAACCGGTACCTCCTCCCTTTCAGAGGGAAACATCATTGCAGACTCTGATATGGCCCGTACAGGCCCTAGACTCGGACTGGATGGAATGGTACCTGCCTAGACCTAGCCTACCGCTACTGGGCCTCTAAAAATGCCAACTTTGTCTTCTTGAGCTCGGCCTCGAGTACCCAGCACATCTACTTCTACGTGGTGCGGTACCGGCCTACCTGCTACTTGAGTGTTTTTCTCCTGCTCTAAAAGTGCCACGGGCCTTGCTCCGCCACTTGAGTGTTTTCCCTGCTGCAACCCTCAATGTCACGGCCACAGGTAAGTACCGGCCCTACGGGCCTTCCAAACAAGCAAGGACCCTTGCGGGTCACACACACACTCGTGACAGGCACGCAGATCACCAAGCACACACACACACACAGACTTAGAAAACTCAGCAGACTGCAGGAACCTCAGCAAGGCATCCATTCCATTGGCAGAACTCAGAAATCAGCAATGTTCTCAGTCTGTGTTATGGCGGGTCATTACAAACAAAACTAACTACCCGCCCAAAATAAATAAATGAAACATTGCAAATTTCTAGACATTTATCTCTCTCTGAGATGTACGTAAATGAAAAATTGAGAACCATGCATGCTATGCAGCTCTGAAAGAAAAGAAAAAAAAAGATTATATTCAATATTGTCAAGTTGTCAACTAAAATAGTGCACTTTGTGAAACACATATTGATTCCCTGGTACCTGCCAAAAGCCGGGACATCTTCAGACACCTATGGATAGTGTGGAAAAAGAGATGTCAGAAACTAACAAACTCGTGCATGCAAATGAAACCTGGTCATTGGACAGCAGCAAATGGAAACGGAACTTATAATGCACTGGATGAAGTGCAGGAATGGAAAGGTCACCACAGAAAGCAGCAGTGTTAAGGAACTTCCAAAGCAACTTCCTTGCAGAAGGAACAATTGTGTGAGGATATGAGCCCTCGGTATGCATAGGTGTGCCCCCTACTACAGGCCTTGTGCCCGCCCTAAGTGAAGGCGGGCCCCTGTATCTCAAGAGGGCCTGCATATTGCCATTTTGCAGGCCCTGGTGGGGGCCAGACGGTTACCACGCACCAGTTGGTTGCATGTGCCCTGCTTGCTAGAATCGGAATCTTCCATGAGCCTTCCAGGCTCTTCTTGCTTTGATGTGGAAGCAGGCCTCTCGGCCTATCAGAGGGCAGGGAACACATCAGAGTGCGAGGGGTGCTTGGATGGGCGCGCGTATCAGAAGTTGCGAAGTCGCAGTCTTGAATTCCAGAACACAATGTCGAAGCCAAGTCGAACACAAGCACTGAAGCTGAAACTTGGTGCCCGTACTGTGCTCGAGTCCGTACTCAACTACCAAACTCAAGTACGGTCCTGAGGGTGAAAGTGAAAATGCCTCAAGTCCAGAACTGAAAATCGAAAGTCTGAGAGTGGGCGCCAGAATGCCGGATGGCGCCCAGTGTCCAAAATCCGAAAGTCGAAAAAGGAGGAATTTGAAAACGGCCGCCAGGATGCGGATGGCACCAACTGTCCGAAATTGGAAAAGCAAAAACAAAGTAAGACAAGAAAATCACAAAAACAAAAAAACAAAAAAAAATAAAGCAAGTTGGCGGGTGGTAATCCGCAGACCAGGGACCGAGCCCTAGCGGAGTCCGTAACATGTAACGTTCCCTGTTCTTGCTGGTCGTGAGAGTATCCATGAAGTGCATGGACACACCCTGACCACGACCAGCAGGAATAGGCAAGGGCTTGATAAGCTCAAGCGGTGCATGCGTTCGTGGTTTGTCTTGTTGACAAACCTGACAGGTCTCAACATACTTCCTGGCATCATCCATCATCGTGGGCCACCAAAATTTTTGCACTAAGTTCGCTGCTGTCTTTTTGTAGCCAAAATGACCTTTGGTGTCATGACATTCACCTAAAATAAACTACGCAAAAACTCTCCAGACGGAATACATAACCGTTTATTCCCGGCCTTCTCGAGGAACAGCAAGCCATCAACCAACACAAACTCATCAGAAGTGGCCCTATCCTTGGCCTCGAGTTTTCACATGATCTCAGACATGACGACGTCCTCTTGATAGGCTTCCACCATAGATCGAGTCACATCATCGGATATTCCAAACTCAGTCACTAGGGCCCCCAAATAGTCCGCCCTTCTAAATAGTGCATCCGCTACCTTATTGTACTCCCCCTTGAGATGATCTAATTTGAAGTCACTCCAATCCATCTGCGAGGGTTTGATCCCTCGGCAGGCTCTGCATCAGGCATGTGCCCACCCTAAGTGAAGGTGGGCCTCTGAACTCGTCAATTTTTGCAAATCTTGGTCGGCGCCAGACAGTTGCCACGCGCCAATTGGTTACATCCGCCTTGCTCGTGAGAATCCACAATATTCGTGATCCTTCCAGGCTCTTCCAGCAACGTGGTCGAAGCAGGGAGTATCGCCCACTTGCGCCTGGGTGGTTGGGCATGCCTAACCAATTCGGTCTCAGGCCTCTGTCTGAACGGGCCTGGACGCAGACACCTTGGCCGAGACTGAAGCTACTAGGAAATCCGGTCTGACGGAGGGTGGCAAGGGAAAGCGCCCGCCACTTTCCATATAGGAAAGGGCTGGGCGCCAGGGCGCCAGACGGGGTATCCAAGCACTTACATCCTGATGCGGCAGCGCTGCTGGAACTAGCGCTCGCAGGCTGCTGCGCTAGTGTATGGTGAGTGTGCGTGCACGCGTGCGGTCGTGCAGAAGCAGGGCGTTGCTGTGGGTGGAAAGAGGTACATTGATGACCTACTGTTGTTTACATTTTTCAAAAGAAGCCACCTAACTACGAAGGAGAGGGCGGAGAAGTTGCTGGACCAAGTAGCGCCCTGTTATCCAGATGGTGTGGAAGATCCGGATGTACCCGAACTGGCACCTGACGAAATAGCCTGAGAACAAGCCTGTGACATTGCAGAGGCGGTAGCCTGCTGCGGCTCTAGCGTCTGCTGCTAATGCTGCTGCTAGTGCCCTCTCTGTGTCGGCTGCTGCTTCCCTTGCCCTCTACAAGTTTCTCCTCTCTCTACCCTGTCTTCGCAATCTCCTCTCCTCTCAGGGCCCTTCAGAGGCAATGCCCGTCTCCTACCAGCATGCTCCCCAGGAAGAATGTCGACTGTCAAGATTGAGCGCTCGCAACGCTTCACAATGAGAGGACTCTCAAGACAAGACTCACTTCCTCACAGTAAGAAGCGATGAAGAGGGTAGATCAGGTAAGGAGCAACATACCTCATAATGTTGCCCCCAACCACAAATTTCTCAACAGTAACCTGACGTGCATTTATGATGACTGATCGATGCCTCGGCACAAACACACAATATAATGCAGTTCCACCTCAGCTTAAATGCCACGTTAGCAAGCTCTCATCACCCAGCGTGCACCCCTATGTCACCACATAGCCTTCCAGGCGCGCCCTCTCGACAGAGGGCCGCCTATATACCCAACGCACAAGCGTTATCACTGCCTCGCATCACAACGTCGAAGCACCAAACAGTTGTTGTGATGGAGCCAGCGGAGCGACTTGAACCAGCTCCGATACCAAAATTGCAAGGACAATGAGCAATAGCGAAATGACAGAATTCCAGATTGCAAAATCACAATGAAATCTGGGTCCAGTTCGATAACATCCCGATTAGAGGGCATCCACTGATCAAGGACCGACTGTAGCTGGAATACCCAAACAACAAAGTGTTGAAATGGGTACTCCCAACTTCGGAATTTCTGGCCCCACACTGTGACTCCATCACCGCCGTTTTGGAAGTGAACACTGAATCAAATCCCGAATTCCCGGAAGAATGGGAATTTTGCATAGGGGAGGAAGCGTCCTCAACAAAAGACGCCCCCATCTGTTTCAGATGCAGAGGGAGAGGACACCTGGGCACTGACCCAGCGTGTCTGAGATCCCCCGAACACTCAAAAGAGAAGAAACTGAGACAAAACATGCTGGTGGAAGTGGAAGAAGCAAAAGGAATATGGTTCGTTAACGACCAGGACTACAACGGATGGGTCGTTGACGATACCATCGAGGATCCGACGTGGATCTGGACGTACAACTCGAGCCCGACAACAAAACAGCCAGATATATTCCCTCCCTCAGACAACAGATGGCATGCAGTGGGAGCAAAGAAGGTAACAGGAATACCAGGTAAGATTCACAAAGACCAAATCATCGACCCACGAGCGATCAAGGAAGAGAAGAAGCACGAGGATCTGTTGTGGGACATGGAGACAATCAGGATCCAGATAGCAGAAACATGCCAGAAAACCAACCTGGACAACAACACCCTGATACAGGAAGCGAAACAGACCCTCGAGCACCGCCACCCCAAACCAGAGATCCCCCCCGCACTCAAGCGGAACGCCTCTCCCTCCTCCAAGGGAATCCAAGAGGACAGGGCAGGAAAGAAGAGAAGGGCAACTGAGGAAGGTTCAGGTAAGATTCTCAAATCTGAGCAGCCCCCCACAGGCGACACCCCCCCTGGGACAAACCCGAACTCACCAGCAGACTCCCTAACAGGAATGGACATCTCACCAAACAAAACGAGCCCCATTCCATGGCTCGAGGAGTACCTGCAGAGAGCGAAGTACGAAAGGGAAAAGGAGTTCGACGTCAGACTGGCCTGTATGAAACATTTGGATAAGACAGGGAAGCCGGCCACTGGTAAAACAGTGGCTGGAATCCCTCACTCCAAAAAAAAATTTGACCTACTGCGCATGAACTCCGAACTCTCGGAGTTTAGTGCTTTCAGATACTACGAAAAGAAGAGAGAAAGAGAATCTGCAGGAACAGACACTGGCACAGGCTTCGACCCCCAAACATCGACAGACTCGATCTGCAACATGGTCAAAACTGAAAACCATCGAAGGGAAGGGACAAGAGGTCAAGGGCCCCCCCCAAAGACGAAGCAGGCAGCCAGAACGAACAACGCAGACTCACGCAGGAGATCGCAACAGTGGCAGCCCAGACGAAAAGACTGTTCGACCAGGACCAGGACTACAAAAAGGAAAACGGAAAGAAGTTCATCACAGTTCGGATGATCGCGGAAAACAAGGTGCCCAGCGTCCCCAAATCAGCAGCCACTGATAGGGGGACCATCAGAGCAGTGAGACCACTGATACCAGTCCGGTTTAGAAGCAAACTCAACGAGTGGCAGGTGGCCACAGATGCAACATTCACAATCCCCACCCTCAATGACGAAAGAGCCCTGGCAAAGAGCATCAGGGACAATATCTCAGTTGAGACTCCGCTGGGGGTGTTCGGGATCCCGCCACGAGAGCAGACAGCCGAAGGGAAGATGCTGGAAGAACCGATCTTCACCCCCTTCGACCCCATCCTGGTCAAGCTCGATGAGAGAGTAAAACTCAGCGAAGGCCTGACCTGGAGGGTGTGGGACACGATCACGATGCTGCCATACAACGTGCTGAACGAAAGGTTCAACACGGCCGATATCATTGCGGACTCGCTGGCTGATATCATCAGGACCCGCCTCTTGACCTCCAAGACCTCGCTGCAGGACGAGGCGACCCCCATCGACGTGGATTTGGGGAGGGAAGAAACAGACATGGAGAACGAAGAGGAAGAGGAGATGGAAGTGGGCGACAAGCTCTCCCCAGGGGGAGATGACGATGAGCCTTCACCGGCGACTGAGAGCAGCGCTGGAGAGTACAGCCTGGGCTCCTCAGCAACGAAGGAGGACAGCAGGGACTCAGACACCGACAGCAGCAAGACACAGGCAGCCGTGGACTGAATAACTTACCGCAGTTAAAATAAAACCCCACCCCACAAACTAAAATGCACGAACAGCACCGGAGATCAAAAGACAACCAGGAGGGAAAAAAAAAAAAGAAAAAAAAAAAGAATAAGTATCAATGCAGAGTCCCACAAGAATAAAAAACGGGCAGGACCGCCCACCCAGGATAAATTGGCACGCCAAGGGGCTCCAGATAATTAGTTGGAACGTCAATGGCCTTGGAAACATTCTAACCGAGGAAGACAAGCTCAGAGATATCCGGACGGGCCTGGTGGGGAAGGATCTCCCCAAACCCGATCTCATATTCCAAGAGACTCATCTGTCCAATCTGAATAGTCACTCAAAGATACAGCGAAGGATGGAGAGAACTGTAGGGGGATGCACATTCGCTCTGTGATCCAACAAAGACGGTCTAAGCAATAAAGGGACGGCGATACTTATCCCAAAAACATCCAAAATCCTGACTGAGGGACAGGTCCTGAACAGTGAAGGGGATTGTGAGGAAGGGAGATGGTCCTCGCTGGACATTAAATGGCAAGAAGAAGATCAGCGAATTCTCAACCTATATGCACCAAATACGAAATCTGAAAGATTGACCTTCTTCGAGAACATCAAATCCCTCATCCCCAACCCACAACCTATAATCATCGCAGGGGACTGGAACACGACCCTAGATCCTAACCTGGACCGGAGCTCAAGAACGACACTAACGGGACCCACAAGAGCGGGCACCCGGATTCGGAACCTGATGACTGAATTCGAACTCTGCAACCCTCTCAGGAAACTGCATCCGGATAAAAAAGTCTTCTCCCGGATAAGGAGGAACCAAGCCAACTGGACCTCATTGTCCAAGATAGACTACTTCCTCATATCCGAGAGCTTACTCGGAACAGTCAAAGAGGCCGAAATCCTCCCGTCCGCAGCCTTCAAAGGACTGGACCACAAACCCACTCAGTTGCTGCTTAATTTTAATGTACCAGTTGAAACAGGCCAGGGTTTTTTCAGGCTGAATAACTCCCTATTAAAAACCGAAAGAATGGCGGCGTCAGTCAAAGAAAACTGGGCCCTCAATAAACAGAGAGAATCTAAGCAGACAAACAGCCACCAATGGTTCATTGATAAACGCAGAGTTAACACAGACAGTATCAGCGGAATCCAGAGATATTGCTAGAGACCGCAAGAGAATAAGAGAAGAACTCCAGTTCGCTATATCTGTTGCAGAAGCAAATCTGGCGAAGGATCCAACCAGCGGATTCTACCAAGAACTACTAGACGACACCAAAGAAGAACTAAATGAATGGAGAAGATGGGAACTGAGAGGTCTACAAATACGAGCAAGGATGACAGACTACGCACTCAACGAGTCCATGTCAAAATTCTTCCTCTCCAAAATCAAGGCGAACGCAAGGAACAACATGATAGAGGCCCTCAAGGACCCAACAGACTCAGGGAGCACAAAAACAACAGGCCCTGAGATGGTAAGGATAGCCAGGTCCTTTTACGCAGACCTGTACGAGTCAAAGACACCCTCACCCCCGACAACAACAAACTTAGCAACCCGCCAACTCATGCTCACGTACCCCGACTAGTCAGGCGGAAGGCCTGGATAAACCCCTGACCCTGGCCGAACTACACAGCCTTGAACCAGATGGGAAACGACAAAGCCTCGGGCATCGACGACCTCTCTAAAGAATTTTGGAGTTGTTTCTGGCCGAACCTGGGAGAGGACCTGCTCGACTTTTTCAATGAAAGTAGGCGCAAAGGAGGCCTAGGAAAGGAACTGAGCACCAGCGTGGTCTCACTGTTGTACAAGAAGGGAGACAAACAAGACCTGAAGAACTACAGACCCATTTCTCTACTAACCACTCCTTACAAAATCCTCGCCAAGGCTCTCGCAAACAGAATCACAAAACTAACGAACAACTGCTTTCACATCGACCAAGCTGGCTTTATCCCATACCGATACATATTGGACAACGTGATGGCGTTGAACGAGGCAGCAAAAAAAATCATGGAAAAATGAATGAAGGCTGCAATCCCGTTCTTCGATTTCGAGAAAGCCTACGACCAAGTTAACTGGGATTTTCTCCATTCATGCATGGAGAAAATGGGGGTAGGCCCACTTCAGGAATTGGGTGAGAGTTTTGTACGCAGACGCAACAGGAAGAGTCCAGGTCAATAGGATCCTATCGGAAACTTACCCTATTTTGCGATCAGTCAGACAAGGCGACCCACTGGCTCCNATCAGTCAGACAAGGCGACCCACTGGCTCCACCCATATTCCTCTTCATTATGGAAGCCATAACTTCCTTTCTCCATAAAGACCCGTCCATCGATCACCTCACAGAACGGAACTTCAACCCGCTACACGACTTCGCCCTACCCACTGCACTCATGTTCATTGACGACCTCGTGGTACTCATTCGCACAAATAACAACTCCGTCCAAGCACTAGTAAGGGCAATGGAAGCCTTCAGATTGGCATAAGAAACGAGGGTCAATTGGAACAAAACCGAAGGATGGTGGTTAGCAGACGACACCCCTCCCCAACCACCTGACACAACCACACCCATGACATGGACCACGCGAGAGCAAGCACTACGGTTCTTGGGCATTATGATCAACAAGGAAGGAGTGTGGCCAGGAATGGGTCAGAACCTAATAGCCAAAGCAATCACTCGCCTGGCCCTGTGCAAAAACACTCAGGCCTCACTAATCGGACGGGCACTACTTATCAACACAACAATCTTCTCCACACTGACTATATGGCATCCATCTGGTCCCCCCCTGACGACGACCTCAAGAAGCTGAGAAACAGGGTGAGATGCTATCTGTGGACAGGTGATCCCAACAGGACCACTTGCATCAACAGGGTTGCATGGAACAATATCACTAGGAAACCACAGGAAAGGGGCCTCGGGATAATCGACCCAAAACAGGAATCCATAGCGCTGCAGATGAAATGGGTAATCAAGATCCTTATCAGATAGTTCCTCCCGTGGACCCAGATGGCGCTAGACAGCATCAGAAACTTAGCTCCCATCAACTCCCCTCCAAACATGAACGGTCTTTTCTGGATTATGGCAAAGGACTGGGCAATCAAATCTAGCAGACCGCGCAGGAGAAACCCTGCACAGCTCATCACAAACCCCACTCAAACAGTCAGTTCATATTGGAGTCCCACCATCAAAGCCTGGCGCAGAATGATGTCAAGCAAACACGGTGCACCAGGAAACAGAGAAGAAGTCCTGAGACGACCTCTCTTCTGTAACCCCTGGATCACCGACCCCAGTGGAACAGCATGGACTCTACGCTCAAGGGAGCGCAGATGGCTATCCTGGGTAGAAAAAGGCGTGTGGCAGGTCAAGCACATATGGGTAGAGGATCAAGGACGATGGGCAACGCATCAGGAACTACGCAACGCCTTAAAAGGCTGCCATGCCCTCTCTGACAACTTAACGCTGATCCAAAAAAGTATCCCAACACAATGGCTCCCCCTCCTAAGAGAGGAATTCTCAGGGAAATCAGGGGACTGGGCCATACTAGTGTCCCAAGCCCAGCCTACCAGAGCATACAGATTCGTCGCTAGAACCAGCCCACCCGGCTATTTATCCAAGTTCTACTCCTACCCCGTCGTCAAGCACAACACAAATGAGATGGAAATCCAGATAACGACCCCCAGTGCGAGACGCTCGAGACCTTCCGACCGAGAAAAGTGAGGGTATCAAAGGCCAAACTCTAGAAAATCTTCCAACCGGACCTCAGCATCTCAGAGCTAGAATTCGACCCGAAAGAATTGGTCTGGAAACAGGGCAATTCAGGGAGAACGAGAACAATAGCTGAATACGATGTCAAATTCGGCTACGCGCTAGGCCTACAAACCACAGACCCGGATCCCAGACTCAAAGGAAAGTGGAGGGAGATACTGAGTCTGGACCCCTCGGCCCCCATATCCATCCCGTGGTCGAAGTTCCTATCCATTAGACTGGCTAGGATTCGAAGCATGCAATGGCTCTTGCACATGCATCACTGCCAACCAATCAGTGGCTCCACAAGAGGACCCCGACAGCACTGATCTATGCAGACTTTGCACAGGCAACGCCGTGGAAGACATACCCCACTGCCTCCTATACTGCACGGAAGCAGCATGGATTTGGAACAAAGTGCGCGACCTATGGACCATCCTCTTTCTCGTCACCTCCCCCGGACACAACCCCCCTGAACATCATGCTCCTATCTAACAGTACTAACAATCTCAAAGGCGGTAAGGAAGTCTGTGGTCCATTTACTCAGAAAGCTGGCCTTATGGGTAATCTGGAAGCGGAGATGCACCAAGACGATCGAAGGATCCGAGGTTACAAGAGAAGAAATGTGGGCTCTACTGCTGAGGATGGCTGAAACAGGGATTCGATTCAGATGGAGAGAAGTGACATCGACGACGAAAGGCAGACCAGAAAGAATATCCACAAAGAGACGGAAGTTCATAAGCGACTGGCTTCTACAGGGAAGGATCGCCACTGTGGTGGACAACAGAATGGTTTGGAAGAAGTGGCATAACACAAGGACAGGGACTCAGTGAAGAGCAAACTGAGATTATAATATCAACAGTATAGACAACTCTCCTCTTTTCTTGCCTTACACGTATTATCTGACAGAGACACTGTAGACTCTGAGACAGTGTTGCCCGCGCCGACCGTCGGCGCCCCCTGACTGGTCGGCACCTACCGGTCAGGGGTCATCAGCACCCCGCAATTTTTTTTATTTTTTTTTATTTTTTTATTTTTTTTGGGTCCAGAACCCCTAATAACCCCACGAACACCCCCATACCCACCCCAAATACCCCCATACACCCCCCCAACACCCACAAACC